GCCGGCTCAGGGTCGGCTGGGATGGATGGGGCCTTCTGCTGCTCCCTGTGCATGCCTGAAGCAGCCTGGCCACCTGCCGCATTCCCAGGGCCCTGTTCTGCATAGCCCGGGAGCAGACCTCTGCCCCTTGGGAAGGGCTGTGGGAGAGCAGCAGAAAGTAGTGTGTCTAAAACTGGTAGCTTCATGCTCCTGCTTGTAGATGTGGTGCAAATCTGATCTCTACAAGATCCAGGTCCCTGCTGTCTCGCAGGCAGTGATACTTACTGCTCAGTGTATTATCCCTGGTAAAGAAGGGGACCCAGAGGCACAAGGAGGGGACATGCGGCACCTGTGATCATCCTATCAGCCAGGAATGGGACATGGGAGTGATGGGTTTAATTACTCCCCATACTTGCCCTGGCCACCCTACTTAGCTTAGGCTGGAGGGGGGGACAGCACATCTGTCCTCCTGTGCCCTCGCCACCTCCTCACACCCTTCCCTGTCCTAGGAGGAGAAACCCTCTCTGGCAGCCCTCCTTCAGGAAAGTCTGGACAAGATCCAGCTCACCCGCCGCATCCTCGACTTGAAACAGGTAAAAGGCTCTTGGGATGCTTCTGGAGGGCAGCTCCTGGGGGAAGAGCTTGGCCTTCACATGCAAGACCCACTCCACCTCCCCGCTCCTGCCCAGGAGGGAGATCTTACCATATATGGGCAGTGGGTGACCGACTAGTACCCAGCTCTGCCCTTCTAATGAGATGGACTGAGTCACTTAAAGCCAGCAACATGCTTTCCAAAACGACTCCAAAGTCTGTAATGCCAGGAATCCTGAACCCCACCAGCCCTGGGACCATGATGCGGAGGCATGGCCCAGGTGTGAGGTCTCTGAGAGGGTGGCAGGAAGGACAGGTGGGGAACTGGCCCTAACAAGGGATGGTGCTTTCTGTCTCTCTGCTTGGACTAGGAGGAGCAGCAGTTCCAGAGTCTGCACGAGGAGCTGAACGGCCTGGGCCAGAAGCTGGAGAAACAAGGCAAAAGCGAGAGCAGGAGCATCTCTGCCCGGCGCAAGCACCTCAACAAAATGTGAGTGGAGGGTGTACAGGCTGATTGGGGGGTGGGGGGGGGGGGGCAATGGGAGCTGAAGAACACTGTATATCTCTTGCCTCCCGACCTGCCTCTCCTCACCTCTGAACAGCTTCCTGCAGGAACGGCCAATGCTCTGGCACAGGCTGCCCTTGACCTCTTCCTGTTTAACTATGCAGGTGGCTACGGCTCCAGGGGACCCTGAAGGAGCATCACGAGGCTCTGCAGCTGGCTCTGGAGGTAGCTGCCTTCCTCCAGCAAGCAGATACCCTTCTCGCAGCCATCCACGCCAAGGTACTCAGCACTCAGGCCAGGGTCAGCCCCGAACTGCACAGCCGCATGCTGAGTTACCTACCGCATGTCCAGGGCGAGGGCTAGGTGGAGAGGATGCAGCTCTCATCCCCTGCCTGGAGGCTGCTGAGGATCAAGTGTCCTCAGTGCTTGGAGGGCAAGGAGAGAGCGGGGGGGCTGGAGCTCAGCATGGGATGGGGAGCCCAAAGCAGCAAGTGTGGTTCTGTGGTGTGCCTCTCTCCTGGAGCAATGCATGAATGCCAGCACTGAGGGCAGGGCCTGGCCTCTTTTCACCACTGACTGCAGCTTCTTCTTGCAGTGGAGGAGTGTCTGCGATGCGGGAAAGCAAGGGGAGGCTGAGCCAGGCCGGGATCGGGATGTCAGAGACATGGCCAGCCAGGTGATGGTGAGTGCTGGGGATGCCAGGGAACTGGGGAAGCAAGCCCTGCTCCTGCCACTTCTGTTCCCAGAGGGCTGGCAGAGTGTTGCTGTCACAGACTCGGCACTGCTGCCAACTGTGGCTTGTCCCTCACCAGTCATGTCATCCTGGCCCGCTCTCTCTCTCCAGATGCTGGATGTGACAGTTTCCCAGCTCCTCAGTCTTCAGCCCAGCCTGGCAGCGCAAGTCACGCACAAGCACCGAGATGTCAAGGAGAGTTGGGCTCAGCTCCAGCAGGTGCTGAGGTAGGGCACAGCCTGGCAGAAGCCCCAGGGTCCAAACCCTGCTCCCTGCAAAGTTCAGAGCTGAAGCGGGTGACCGCTTCTGACTCACTCCTGAAGTGGCTGAGAAGAGCAGCTTATGTTTAAAGTGTAGTTCGGGAGCCTGGGCTTGGTCATGTTCCCAGCTCCCTGACCTTAGAGGGCAGCTCCCCACCTTGTTGCATGCCTCAGTTTTCTCATAAATGCACTGAAAGGGATGGTCTGTCTCTAGTACAGAAGGGGCTGCATGCACAAGAAGCAGGGGTGGCTGGTTGGAGGAAGCGGGCAGAAGGGCCAACATGCCCTGCAGTGGTCTCTGCCCGCTGAGTTATCCCAGGAAGCAAACACTAGCTTTTCTGGGCTCTCATTTACGCAGCTCCGTATTGGCCAGGCCACCAGGAAAACTGACCCACAGGAAAAGTTGGTCCCACGTCTCTGCCACTGGCTGTGCTAGAAATCCCAATACTGGAGCCAGAGGCTTGGGGAAAGACCTGGGTTAGCCTTTAGTTCTTGGCAGACTGTCTCTGGGGTACCAGCCCAGCTTTGGTTTCTCTTTTCTCCATCCTCTGCTCCCCCGGGCCTCCCTCATGCTCCTTCTCTTCCACTTTCCCAGGAATGAGAAGTCTCCTGCGCTGGCTCCATCGAGCAGCTTCTCAAGGGGCGAAGCTGCTGCTCTGAACCATGAGTCCCGAGGAGACGGTAGCAGCCATGGGGCAGCGGGCAAGGAAGCAGGAGACAAGCAGAAAAGAGGTCCTGGAAGCACAGTGAGTACAGCGGCTTGGCCCCACGTTCCTCCAGGCACCTCCAGAGCCTCCACTTAAGAAACGTGGGGGAACTTGTGGGGAAAGTATTTGATTGTTGGCCAAAACTCACCCCAAGAACTCCACCGTGGCTCAGTGACCCATCATACCCTCCGCATTGAGCCCAGAGCAGTCAGTCCCGTGACCTGCCCCCACCACTTGTGGGAGGCAACAAATGCCAAGCCTGGAGCAAAGAGAAGGACATTTTGGGCTGGGCAAAGGAGGATTTGGGGCCTTTGTGCTGTAGGTACAGAAGGACGTTGGAAGGAGCGTGGCGGAGCATGCGAGAGGCGAGGAGAGCGGCCCTGGCTGTCCCACAGCCGGGCAACCCCCTCCCGGAAGCGACAGCAAGAGGTACCGGCTCCTGGTGGCTGCTGCCAGGAGCAGGGGTGGAGGACAGAGCTGCAAGCTCGGGGAAGGGCGGCGGGAGCAGGAGGCACTCGCTGGGACCTAGCTTGTTTCTCAGTTATAAAGATCCATCCCCAGACCTATTGCACGGTCCCTAAAGGGCTGGGATGGGGGCTAGCTGTGAGGACAGAAAGGGGCTCTGAACTAGAAGACCTCTATGGCAGGTCCTAGTCCCTCTTCCCTCTGGAAAACCCTGAAGGAAGCAGGGGTCCCTGTGCGAAGGGAAAGCCTGACTTTCCTTCTTCCCACAGGAGGAAGAGGGTGCCAGGACGCCCGGAGGGCGAGTGGGGCACCCAGCAGCCGGAGGCCCAGGTGCAGGACTTCTGCCAGGCTGCGAACGCGGTAACGTCTCCCCAGGAGTCAAGGCGCGTCCCCTTGCCCCTTCCCGTTCGCTCCCAGCCTGTCCAGGGGACCCAGTGTCGGGGCATCCCCTTTCCCAACCCTGCCTCCGCTCGTGTGCGTACACACTTACGCGTGCACACCCATCCCTGATCCGGGCGCTAATGCACTACGTCTCCCCTGCTCTTTGGCAGGCCATGTCCCGGCTCAAGGAGAACGTGGGTCCCAGCATCCACCTGCATCCAATGGAGGATGCAGAGAGCCTGGAGGCAGCGCAGACGCAGCGGGCCGCACTGCAGCGAGAGATCCTGGACAACACCTCCAGCATCGAGGCTGTGCTCCTGGTGAGCCCTCTCCGGTGCAGGGCAGGAAGGGGGATACCAGCAGGGCTGGCAGTAATGCCCATCTCTTCCTCCTAGGAAGGGCAGAAGCTGCTGGGTGCAGGGGCCCGGGGAAGCCCGCAGGTGGAGGCCATGCTGCAGGAGCTGGGGGAGCTCTGGGAGGACCTGCAGAGGAAGCACCAGGAGAACGGGGCTGTGCTGAGGGAAATTGATAAGGTATGTGGAGGCAGGGCTGGAGTGGGGCTCGGGGATGGACATGGGGAGACGTCTTCATCACGTCAGGCTGCGGGGGGTGGCTTTGCCCCCTGCACCCTCTGGTCCTTCTGGCCTAAGGGGGTGTGGACCTGGCCTGACCTCCACTTGGATCAGCGAGCAAGGTTGGTGCCCGTGGGGGCAGGATCCACAGGGTCAGCAGTGACATCTCTGGCTGCTCTGCCAGAGCACGCTGCTCTGACGGCAGAGCTGGAGCTGCCTGCAGCACAGGCACCGTGCTGTGGGGCCCTGCCCCATGTTCAGCCTCGAGGGTGGCTCCTGCCTCCCTTGTGCAGGCTCAGAGCCAAGCTGACGGGGCTGGGTACCACCTCTGTGCTGTCTC